CTATTCTATTCTATTCATTTAATTAAATCTGATACACTCATGTGTGCAGGACTTTTGTGAAAAATGTAATCCTAAATCATTGTTTGATAGGATCAAAATGGATTCATTTGCAATGTGTTTTGTTAGAAACAAACTTGGCCTTCAAGACTAATGTCACAAACTGGACTCTGCAGAAACTTCAAGTGTGAGTACACAGCACATGAATATACTAATAGTAATTGCTTAAGAGTTTACCTTCAAGCATCTCTTTTAATAAGTAGTAGGGTAATTCACTGAACTAAATATGTGACATTTTATGCCTGTATTATTATTTTTTCTTAGTAACATTTGGAGAACCATTTTGAAACTCTAGAACTCTGTTTTAAAGATAAAGATAAAGATAAAGATAACTTTATTGATCCCACAGTGGGGAAAGTTCACTGTTACTTGGATTATGCCATTTTGCAATATTTCTTTTTGGCACAGCTTGTCATACCTGCTCGATCAGGAAAATATGTTTTTCATTTTTGTGACCATGTATTTTATATTAAAAGTATTCCTAATGTTTTGTTTTATTGTGACATGCAGCAACATGTTCAGAAAATATCACTAGTTGCCTTCTGCATGATCAATTTTAATGTGTGCTCAAAGATGGAGCTTACATTAAGGCTTTTATTCTTTCACATTTGATCTATTAGTTAAACATTGCGGGTTCTCAATTAATGGCATGATGAAAAATACTAGTGAAAATGTCAGGCCTTTATCTCTAATAGTTCCTGAGATATTGACATTCGAACATAACAAACAAACGAAAAAACACATCACCTCACTAAGTATTTGATATATCAGTCTAAAATTTCACAAATCTTTAGTAATGTCAATATTTTATGCTATAATATCTCGGGCAAAGAAATTCTTCTAAAAATCTAATGATGCCCCGCATGTGACCGAATAAACTGACACCTAGAAGAGGAAGACACACACACACACACACACACACACACACCAGGAAGTAAAAGTAACACGGGCACATAACGTTAGCTTTCAGTTCCCAACTTTTGACAACAAAAAAGCTCCAATGACAACTCAAACCGCAGTCATATAGTGACCAATTTTCAATTTCTAACAGCGTTCAGGCTTTCTAGTTAAAACCTCAACTCACTTTTAGATTTGTGAAGCTGCCTTTCTGAAAAAAAAACAACAAAAAAAACACAAGTGTTAACCTCAAATTTGACTAGACAAAAAAAAATTGTGGTTGGCTTTTTTTTTTTTTACATTTTGTTTTAATGAATTAAAGTGGATTTTTAAAAGCCCTAACTGTAAAACTGGATATCAAAAGTGGTTCAGGTCAAAATTGTTTTCCAAGATGATAAGTAGAATAATTTTGTTTGGTTTTGTTGGTATCTGTTCAATTAATTTTCAACCCTAAACTCCAGGTATCTTTGTGTTGAAATAAACCCACTCAAATTAAGCTGAGACTTGGGACTTCAGTGTCGTATCCAATATTTTATTTTAAATTGAATGCGCTGAAGCTCAGAGCCTGAAGAATACAAATGTGTAACTGCCCAAATATTTGTGACCCATACCTTGTTCTTGGTTAAACAGATGGACAGAGGATGTCACAGGTCATCAGGTTTGGTGGCTGACATTGGTCAGGCTTGCGTAGGGAAACCTGGATTGAAGATGGGCTGTTAGTGATAAATGGATATCGAAGTTTAAGCAAGGCAGTCCACACTAACTTTACAAGCACTGTTTTGGGACCAGTCAGAGCAGACAGTAAATATTTAACACATATCATTTTTGTCAAACCTTTTTATACCACACTTAACCTAATTTTCATTGTGTCTGCTGTTTATCCTTAAGCCCAAGAAGTCTTGTTAATTATCATAGTTTTAAAAAAAAAATGGGGTTAAATGAACTTCCAGAAAAATATGAGGGTACATTACTGAAAAAAAGAAGACAAAAATGACTGATAAAAATATAATCCAACAGCAATAACCTGAAACTAAGTAAGTCTCATAATTTGTTTTAATTCAATTTCTTGTATGTTTCTTATACACATAAAAATGTTAATTTCGTGTTGATTAATCAGAGCGTTTCTGTTTTGTAAGGCAGGTCATTAAGGAATACAGGTTGAGTTTATACTACTTCACCTTATCTTACATTTCAACAACTGCCTTGAATTCATAAACATTTTATAAAGACATAACGGATGGTTCGTTAAATGTATGGTTGTTTGACCTAGAATACTGGAATAACTTGAGATCTAGTAATACTGCATTAAGCACTAAGACAGTAATGAACATCTCTTCTAAAAAGAACAGAAAGTGTTTTCATCAGTATAGAAATCTGTGCGCTGGATATGAGACAGCTGTTAACAAGCACTCTGAGAATTGGCTTGATAACATGATGACACTTCTATGTCAAATGGAATGTATATCAGTTAGTGGTTGCATTTGGGTCATCCCACCTCAATTCACCAAACGCCCCACGCCTGACCATCCTCAATTTGACAGATTTTTTTGTTGTTTTTTTTTTAAAAAAAGTAGTGAATATTGATTGAGTTGACCATGTGTAAAATTTGGGTTCATGGGTAACATTAGTTTCTGAGTTCTTAAGAGGAGTGGGGTCCTGTCAATTTTTACATTGTAATCAGTTATAATGGTGTAAATTTGGTGAAAAAATGCTAATGTTTCTGTCTACACAGATATTCCACAAACCATAAAACTTTTCACCGAAATTTTTCACCCTAAAAGGCAGATTGTTTTCTTGTGATTAGCACAAATAGGAGCTTTAAAAATGAAGTGTCTGGTACCAGTCATAGGTATACTTTATGAGACAGAAATATTAAAATTAAGTTCTTGCATTTATGGACAATATTATTGTATACCTGCACAATAATCACTGAGCAGGTGTGATGGTGAAACCACTCCCTTAGTGTCCCAACTGGAAAAGTGAAAAGCTGAAAAAGAAGGTTTTATAGGTGGGTGAAACATCGGAGTATACAGAAACAATTAACCTTTTGGACCAAATTTGCATCATGATATAACTGGTTTGTATTATTTTATTAACACAGGTTGTACCATTGAAGACTAGATGTGCATATCAATGAGCCTGCAACATTTCAGGACTCTGGCTACATTATTTCTCAAGTTATGGCACTTCAAACATTACTTCAGACACTGGTGCAAGGAAAACGGTGCAAAATTAACATGACCCCACCCTCTTTAAGAATTATTAACTGAAAAACTAATGCTACCAATGATCTCAAGTTTTGAACGTTTTACTAAATAACATACGTACGAAGAAAAAAAAAATCAGACAAATGTGAGATGGTCAGGTATGATATTTTTTTTTTTAATTTGGTGAATTGAGGTGGAATGACCCATGCAGAGGATCAATTAATTATCTATACCAGCCTATCACATGCAGGGTCACAAAGAGATGGAACCTAACCCCACTCACACTGGGTGGGAGGCAGAGCACCCCTGAACAAGTCCCAGCACAGGGTTCACATGTACAGACAAACAACCTGTCACACTTACGGTCACATAGGCAGAGTTTTCAGTTAATTATGTTTGGACTGTGGTAGAAACCCACACATAGAGAAGGCTGGTAAACTGCACACAGAAAGGCCCGAGCTTGAGGATTTAAACCAGGACCATCTAACTGTGAAGTGGCAGTGCTGACCACTGGTCCAACCATGTGAACAACTGGTTGCTCATATCGAGACACGACTAAAACTTCAATGCCACAATTCTGTCCTTGCACTTAAACCTTCTGCACTGAAAGTCCACATTACCTCTGTGATTCGGACTTTCTCAGTAATTGCTCCCTCAACCACTTAGTCATTAGTGACCCTGCATTAAAATGAGACACATTTCTCAAATCCCTTGTATTGTGTAAAGATAAACACAAGTTTCTATAAACTTGAAGGTTATTTTTACAGTTATGTCCATCATTCAGAAACAATAATGTAGCGACAAAGTTAATAGCTTGGTAACATGGCAACTAAAAAGGTTATAAAGATATCCCTATTTAGCCAAATTTATTTAGAAGAGAAAACATACATCCATCCATCAGCAATGCCTGGTTAAATCTCTGAGGGTTGCAGAGAATTGTAGGCTACTACAGCTGAAATTGGGTCAGAGGTGGAATACAGCTTGGACAGGTCACAGGTTATTCACAGGGCTGACAGAGACAGTCACACACACTTTCACACCCACTGGCAATTTAGAGTTACCCGTCTACTTCACCGGAAAAACATTCAGGCTTCCTTGTATCCGAAGGTCCAATCCAATTTGAAATGAACTAGTGGATGGATAATGAGCATTGCTTTGACTCACGTTTTAACCATTTCAGGTTTTCCCTTCAGACATTAAACACGTTTTCAAGCCATGCCACAGTCTTACACAGTTCTGCTTGTTTCATTCATTCAGTGATGGAGGATGCTGATTTTGACTCAATATTCAAATCCAAGATGCCACTGTCCATTGTTAAAACAACGTGTACATGAGATGTGTGGTGATTTTAGAAAGCTTAAGGTGTTGACTCAGTTGTGACTGGAGCAAGAACAGATGTATGCAGTTAACCCACTGATAGGCCCTTTGAAGAACCTAAGGAGACACTTGATCAGTACAAATAAGGATCAGACCCATTCTCTTTAACTGCAGTTTCACTGCTTGCTGCTCTGTTGGATTAGACTGTGATCACTTTTAACTGTAAACACTTTTGAACAAGTTCCAATGACTTTTAAACAAATGACCAATGGTTTGTTGCTAACGGCCTCAGTCTGTTTTCAAGCAGGTGCTTGTCAGAACATCTAACGGTATGTAGACCTCCCTTTCTGACAGCAGAACCTGCTGCTTTTTGCAACTTTCAAACATTGTGCAAATGAGCTTGTTTAAAGCATACTGAGACCTTTTTTTTACACTGTTAGACTAACGCTCCACCATATGTGTCTGCTGTTCTGGACCTTCAACATGAATCTCTTTCCATCAGTGACGATTTAGCCCTTGATATTGTTTTACCAAGGTGGAGCCCTTAAATTGGACAATAATCTGCTGCGTTACAGAGGTCATCATGTACACACACCCTGTACAGATTCTTTAACAGCAAGCAGTGCAGTTACCAAAATCCTCTGGTCCAGCTGTACAAAATGAACTCCTTTGTGTGTTCAGGTTAGCTAGCTAAATCTGAGAACTTGCAGTTTTCTGTAAAACATTTTGTTTCATAACCTTAACGATAAAATTCTTTTTGTCCTTTCTGGTATAATTTCAGCCACTGCTTTTGGTCCATACGTAGTGACAATCTCTGAACTGAGTTTTTTCATGTGAGATGCTGTAAAAATCCATCCCTCTGATCGCAGCCTTCGCCTGACCTGGGTCTGACAGTATGCGATTTGTTCTTCATGTCCCAACTCACCAGTCCCTCCATCTTACGTGACATACTCATCCTCATCGCTAGGTTCTGATTTGATATGGTCTGGGTGGACCAGAGGAAAGTGTGGTGCTGTAGTCCTGGTACAGACATACCACTCCTTAATGTTAGACAACTGAGGTAAGGCTGGGTTGACTGAGCGCTGACTCCTGCGTGGGGTCCTGCCACTCTGCTGCCTCTGGGTCAGCTGACTCTTTAGGCCTGACAGAGAAAGATCGAGAGGCATTGCCACTGGAGATGAACTCCGTAGCAGAAGCTTATGGTCCACTTCACTGGCTGAGCTGATATCCAATTCATGATTGGACAAAAGAGGAAAATGGGTGGTTTTGTTGGCAAGTGGTGGAGAAAGGCGATTCATTTTAAGGTCAAGGGGCTCAAGGACAGCTTGATGAGGTGACTGGAGTTGATGAGGGATGGAGTCGTACAGGTCCTGAGGTTCAGAGGTAGGTGAGGACTTGACATGAACCTTCATGTGTTTGCGCAGGGAGCTTGGGTGTGTGTAAGACTTAGTGCAGCCCAGCGCTTTGCAGTCGTAGGGCTTTGAGGCCGTGTGGACCTGCGAGTGCTTCTTCCGGTCGCTGCTGTTAGCGAAGCGCCGCTCGCAAAATTCACACTGGAATGGCTTCTCACCTGCAACACAAACACCACACTCATCATTATCACAGTCAAAAAGGGTTCCTTCAACAAAAAGTTGTACTTTGCAACCAAGTACTATCTATTGAGATGAGGAAAGATGTTACAAATTGACTTCAACTGGATGAAACCCTTAATAACGTTGGTGTGAAGATTAACAATACAGCACACTGGATGGTATTGTGTAAAATAAGACTTCAAGAGGCAGATTGACGAGTTAGGAAGAGATGACACTGCCAGCCTGCTCATGCATATAAGCTGGGTTATGCTTTAACATAAATGCAATGGTAAAGCTTGCAGGAGGTGAGATGTAGCCTCGTCTGTTTAGTGACCCAACTGAGGTACATATTTGTTTTTACTTTTGTGTATGTCCGTTTGTTTGAGTTACTGTTCCATTTTCCATCTTCTTTTTAAAAGCAAGTTCTAAGATATAGCATGTCAAAGGTCTTTTAACACTTGATAAAAGTAGAGAGAAAATGAAAATAAAAGGTTTCACATTTCGTTCTTTATCTGTTGAGTGCAGTGACATGAAAATCTGTCACTTTCATACAAAGCTGGAAATGATCATTCACTTAAGTATTTAGAAATATTTAAAACACAAGAAGTTATAATGCGTGAAATGAAGATTAAATATTTAAAACTGCACTTTTTCCAGGTCAGCAATCATTGATTCAAAATAGTGGCGTGGACCATGGTAACTCTAAGTACATGGAGCAGCTTTCAGATGACAGATGGATTTGTTCTGGGCTGCTTATCACAGGCTTGTTTAGTAAATCAACTTGCTGCCATTGTTAACTTGTTAGAAATAAAGCTGTGCCTCAAGTTTCCAGCAGAACATGGCTTACGAAGTAGCACTGTCGATAGTGGGAACAGCATGATAGGTAAGGACAGTAAGGGGCAGCGACTGGTCAGCTGTATCCAACAGAGAGCACATTACAACAGCTCTGTTCGCTGGATTCATGGGCCAATATCAGTTTTAAGGAGACAAAAATTACCTTACTGATATATCGGCTGATAGTCTTTATATATTTGTCTAAGTTATGTTAAGAAGGGGCTGCAAGGTGGCTGGGTGGTCAGCACCGTTGCCTCGTAGGAAGAAGGTTTGCATGTTCTCCCCATGCAGCGTGGGTTCTCTCCGGGTTCTCCGGCTTCCTCCCACACAGTCCAAAAACATGTTTAGGTTAATTGGTGATTCTAAATTGTTCGTAGGTGTGAATGTCAGTGTGCTTGATTGTCTCTCTGTGTAGCCCTGTGATAAACTGGCGACCTGTCCATGTGACCCTGCCTTCGCCCTAAGTCAGCTGGGATAGGCTCCAGCCCCCCCGAGACCCTAGTGACGATTAAGCGGTGTATAGATAATGGATGGATGGATGTTAAGAAGGAAAAAATGATGGGGTCATTGTAAATCAACTTTCCAGCATTATGTTAGACAAACTAGTTAGCATCTTACCATGAGCACACCGCTTGACTCAACACCACCATCTGCTCAGCTGTGAAGCATACTCTGCTACGTGTGCTGCAGACATTGCTAAATTGCTGAGTGTTATTATACAGTACTTTAAACTAGCCCACATTTGTTTTTTATATATATAAATATTCATATTTATAAAATCAGCTGACCAATATATTAGTCAAGCTCTACTGCTCACTGAGATAGGAAAGTCTCTTCTTCCCAAATATCGAATTTACTAAATAAAGTCTCCAACCCAGAGGAGTATGATCAAAAGAAGGCTGTTTCGTCATGATCCGACAGATGTGTAGCAACTGCTTGGGGCTGGCTAAGACGTACCAGCATTTCACTACCAAAAAGGTGTATTTATTGATAAACCCAAGTTTGAGATTTATAGCAGTAGCAAAAGAGATGAATGGGGGAGAGAATGCTCGCACAATGCAGCCAACCCACAGTGTGGGAGTGTTCTGCCCACTCTGAATGTAGACATCTGCACAGACCTGACACCACCCTCGCCAAAGATTAGCAGCATTCCACTCTTCAGAGGCAGATTCCATTCCCTGGTTTTCATTTTTGTGGAGAAGGAAGGCTCTGTTGAACACCGTCGCATCATGCTGCGACCACATGAGTTATCTGGGATTGCTCCAACTTGTGGAGTCCATGCTCCCATCAAAAGAAGGGCACTGAGTGAGGACATTGGGTGAGATAGAGCATCATGCTCTATCACCAGACTGTGCAATATGTTACATGTATCTGTACATTGTATACTGAATTTGAATGCTGATTTGATTTGAATTTTGATTTGGATTTGATTTGATTTGAATTTTGAATGCTGTTGTTTTGTTGCTGACTTTATGTTGGTGTTGTGTTGTTTTTTGGTGTAGCAATTTCCCTGAGGTCTTGTACCGAAGGGATTAATAAAGTTTGATTCTATTCTATTCTATACCACGTACTAAGACATTCTAACACTCATGGACATGGATCTCAGTTATAGCTTCTTAATCAAATTATCCAGCTAACATCATCTATTTTTTTAAGAAGCACTTTGTAGTAAACTCAAAACACTTTACTAGTCAGACTTTTGGACTCGACTATATGTGATGCGAGATGGCATAAGTTAGTAGCACCACTGGTGCCAACCAGTGACAATTCAGTTTTCAATACAACAGCAGTGTTCCATAGATTTATGTTGTTAGGGATGTACAGTGACAACGGCATCATCATTGGTGTCGGCTGATAACGTCAGAAAAAGAAAATATCTGCATCGGCTGAAAAACACTGACAGACAGATAACACCTGTCAGACTCAAAACATATTGGCATATAGATATCAGTAAATATCCAATCTCACATCCCTCTGAGGTATAACTCTGAAGTGTTATTCTGAAGCTACAAAATACAAGGCATCTTTAAAAAGGAACTATAGAGGAGATAGAAACATGAAGAATGGAAACTATACTAAAGGTCACAGCTGTGTGCAAATCAGCTTGGAAAAACACATTTATAAAAAAAATATTCAGAATATCAGTGTTGCGAGCAATGTAAGTGGAAATATGGAAACTTAGAAGTGAAATTGCCAGTTTTAATAAGAAGACAGCTTCCGATGCTGCGTACAGATTACTCTCATCTTAGTAGCAGGAATGTCCTCTAAACAACACAAGACAAAAATAAATATGCTCAAAAAGTGGGAAGTAAGATGTGAATGTAGACATGGTCCAGACCGGACCACTGAGGCAGGATGCTGGTAGAAAAAAGTTGTTCAGTTCTATACTGTACTGCAATAATAAATTTGCTTTTTCCATAAAATATTTAATTAAGTCTTCCATTGCTAATGCTAGTTCAATAATTTCTAAAGAGATACTTAACATTGTGTTGGTTTAATGTTGTGTTATTGTAGTGTTGCCACCTATGATGAATATCATCTGCACTCTCTTCCCTCATACTGTGTGATACGAGCATAAAATGCCAACAAAAACACAGCTCAATGATTTGGGGAAAATATAGAATTTATGCTTTTTCTAGCAGACAATGTGATTTGATTTTCAATATAATTTTTTTTAAAGTTGACCTTCACTTCAATATTCACTGTATAATAGCTTATTGAGGAGCATTACCACATGAGACAAGCACATCAAATCATCTCTAAACGTTGGAAACAACACTTTCAACCCTGTGTCTGAGTGCTACAAGCATAAATAAGCCCTGAATGTTGTAGTCTGCTCCAATTAAACACAACTCAATTACAGCATTGGTGTCTTTATTTAATGGCCATGCCTGATACATACTAGATAACAGTCTCTTCAATTTGATAGTTGCATTGTTTTAAATTGCAATTTTAATTTAGGTTTAAACACCTGATTGTCCCAAAATACTTAAAGAAAAATGACTAGCAGACCAAATTGGTAAAGCATGAGCTGTTCTTATTGGTAAAACATTAGTGAACTATCGGCTGATAACTAATGATGCTGTAATCATATAATTGTTCAAATGCTGAGTGGCAGTAAAAAGGTCAACAGCCATCTGTAGGTGTCAAACAGTCACTCCTCTGTGTGTACATGTACATATCATCAGTTTCATCCTGAACTCTTCCTTGGCCCTCATGAGTCTGTGCTGCTGATTCCTGTCACCTTGCATGACTCCTGAGCTACAGCCTCCACTCATGGCTCCGCTAGGAAACGAGGGTGCTGTGAAGTGTGCTCTGCAGCGACACTGAACTGAGCCTACGTAAACATGGAGGGGATTCCTCGGCTCACTGAGGACAATCTCCATGAACCTCTCTATCCTCCTCGGTGTCTGCGAGGAAGCTGCTGCTGTGACGGATGACATGGGTTTTAGGGCCATAATAACGGTGTGAGTGTTACACAATGACGGGAGCCTACCAGTGTGCGTGCGTGTGTGGATCTTCAGGTTCTCGGAGCGTGCGAACATCTTGCCGCAGTTGGGAAATGCGCATGAAAACGGCTTCTCCCCGGTGTGCACGCGGATGTGGTTGATGAGTTTGTATTTGGCTTTGAACGCCTTCCCGCCGCGCAGACACTCGTCCCACATGCAGACATGACTGAGGGTCTCGAGCCCCGCGGCGACGTGCTCGGTGGTGACGTGGTCCACCAGCTCGTGCATGGAGCTGAAAGTTTGGTCGCAGACGGATGTCGCTGTCCGCCCAAACCGCTGCCTCGAACAAGTTCGGTCAATCCATTTGCACACCAGCTCGGTTTTGACGGTGGGGCCTTTGGAGAAATCCAGAAGGCCGTCCACCCCGCCGCCGGCGCCGATGTCGGCAGAAGCGGAGACACTGGTGGCCCTCGGCAGGAGCGGTGAGACGATGCTCGAAGCCCCGGAGTTGTTGTTCCCCAAAGGAGAAACGAGGCCATTGTGCCTGGCCACCACCGCCGTCCGCTTCATGCTCCGCACGGCGCGCTGTCCCGATCCTATCCCCAACTACGGTCCTGTTTCCACGGAAAACCACTTAAATCCAGCTGTCAACGCGTTCACGGCCGTCCCGCTTCCTTCCTGTGTGTTTTCATAAAAGCGAGAGCGCATGCGGCAGCGAGTCTACCCCCCGCTGTTCGGCGTTAGATCCCGAGAGTCAGATCCTCCATGCTTTTATTTACTGTGAATGGAGGTGAACGGAGTCGAAGGAATACAGCAGGCCGCGGCCCAACACCCGTCTGACGGCCTCCTTGTCTCCTTTCCTTCCTCCCTCCGGTCTTCTGTCCTTCTCTTGTTTTCAGCAGACCAAGTTGCAGCTCTCACAATCACACAGATCTTCAGCCTCCAGTCACGATACTTTGCCACAGTATTCACGAATCTGTCCAACAAACACAATAAGAAGACAGGAATAGCTTGCATCGAGGAGTCTTTGTGCAGGGAATTATAATGGGACACACATATGTCTTCATGACCATTCCTTGTTCAGTTACCAGGTTGTCAATGATTTAATAGTTTTGTCCAAAAAAAATGAATAAATAAATAAATAAAATAAAAGCTTACTCACCCATTTCACTGCTGTTGTGATTTTTTTTTCTCATAGCATTATCAAAAACACTAAAACTTATAATGAATTGGTAATCCTTTGAATAAAAAATTCTTTGTATCTGAAGCTTACGCAGCAGAATCTTCCTGCGTTATCCTCTATCAAGAAACAATTAAAAACACAGGAGAGGATCCCTCCATCGTATTCGGGTGACAGCTGAAGCTGTGTTTCTTGTGCATCACAAACATTTCGTCTGTGAGTGGTATGTGAGGGAACACTGGTCTTCACGTACAGATGAATGGATAAAAGTAAATATGCTATTTTGAAGTAAATAGTAAATTAATAAGGGCCAGATGATCTGCGTGGTAACAGACTGCTTTAAAATCAAGGCCCCTAATGTTGTGCACAAATGTGTATGGTTCATTTTAGTGCAGTTTTTGTTTCTGACACTGCACTTTTGAACACTGATGCTATAAGTGGTGACAGCAGCAGGTTAGGCCTGGAGGGCTGCACACCACAGCACACTGAGGAGGCCATACATCCAAAAGCTTAGGAATGATTTTGGGATCGAAGTCAGAATATGAAAGTGAAGTTGTAATTCAAAACTTAGGACACATGTTTAAGAATATTATGGGACTGAAATAATAATATTTATTTTAGAATATTTGTTGTTGTGATTTGCATTTAATATTTTTACAGTAACTTCACAAGTATTTGGAACAGGGTGAGTAGCCCGCAGTGATGGAAAATGCATGTTTTTTTCCCAGTGTAAATATTGTACATATGTATTTTTTTCATTCAATAGTATATTTTTGTCACATTGTGTACATACTTATTCTATTACTTAATTATTGTTTTTTTTTTCTCAGTCACTCAAATCATTCTTGACATTTGTAAAACAGTAAGTGCATTTCTCAAAACAATTCGTACAAATAGCAAAACACCATGGATTACCTGCAAA